ACCTGCCAACTGTTAGTCTTTCATTTTTTCAAAGGCTGTATATGTGAAGCGGTAACAGCCTCTGTATGCCAACTGAATAATGGTTGCAGTTTTAGATGGAGCAATTTAACTGATGCCACATTAATGCTGTTGCACTGTTTGGTGACACAACAGAACCCTTGAAGCCCTTCGTAAAAAATCGATCCCACAGGAAGAAACACAATAATCCCATCTTGTTTTGTCTTCTTTTAAGTCTGTGAGGCACTCAACAAAAGTATTGATATTTTTATTCCAATGTCAGAGGAGCCATCAATACTGAAACCTGTTCAAAGTGAGATATAACTCTCCTGTAAACGTCACATTTTGAGTTGTGTGTGAAATAACAGCTGAGGTGTTAAAGGTGGAACAAACACATTGAGGTATTAAGCTCCAGTCGGTTGTAGCTGTGAAGTAGAAGGGCATGCAGAGAGCACAGTCTTCCGCCAAACTTTATCTTGCAATGTTAAAGAAAGTCATCCAGGTCTGCGGAAAAAATTTAATGGGTTCTTCCTCACCCCGTGCTCCGTCTCCCGTCTGTTTTTCAAAAGTTGGGCCTGGTGGTTTTTGTGTAATCTTGCTGAAAGACAAACAAAAACCCCTGAGAAATAAAGGCGTGAACCGGTTCTAATTAATCCAGGAAGGTCTCCGTCAGAGATTCCATCATAGCCGGACGTAAAGTTCTTACACAAGGTTTACAGAAGAGCCGCCGCGAAGAAAACTAAACGCTCAACAGGTCACATAAAAAATTTTCTGTCAGTAGATCTGTTTCCCTCACTGCACATCGTTCAATCTTCTATTTTCACCTTCGGGCTGTAGGTTCAAAGTGTTGGGGAAAAAGAAAGCTTGCTGTGGAAATGTTATCATCAATGTATCTATCAAACACCCCGCATACGCTCAGTTTTCTCTCAAACTTTTGGTTTTACTTCACAATGTGCTTTTGACAATTTATGTCACATACTATGCTCTGAACATTTTGTACTTTTTGTTACGAGTGCTGGAGAAGCCTGAAAAGCTGGGACTGAAAAACAGATTTTCCTCTCTGTTGAACTTGTTTTTCTGGTTCTGTCCTCAGATCCGCTCAGATCAGGATAAGGATGTTGGCATCCGCTACAGCATCACCGGAGCGGGCGCCGATCAGCCCCCGAGTGGTATCTACAACATAGATCCCATCAGCGGCAACATGTTTGTCACCCAACCCCTGGACAGAGAGGAGAGAGCCTCCTTCCATGTAAGGAAAGAAACCAGTGTCTTGTCTGTTTCTGTTTAGCCTCCATCTCCGCTTGCGTCTGTCTCATTATCTTCCAATTATCCCTGTGGACACGAGGGTTGGCTTTTCTCTTCCACATCTACCTTTCATCCGAAGGTTGTCTGCCAAAACAAAACCACAAGTCGGAGCACATTCAGGGGGACTCTTGTTGTACGGCGCCTTTTTGCAACGGCCTCTCAGGGCCTTGATTGATGTAGAAGCCAGCTATGAAATGAGCAACGCCTTGACAAAACACAAGCTGCCATTTAGATTAAGGTTTTACCTGCACGGTGCGGGAAAACTGTTGTCTTTGGTCTCACCATCAGAGCTAATGAGCAGGTGCGGCTTCAGATGTGTGCGTACATGTCGGTGCCTGCGAATGTGTGTGTTTGTGCAGAAATCATAAGCAGGTCTTTTTCCCCCACTTTTCCTTTTGCTGTACTGCAGGCCCACACATTGTTGCACCTCATTCACTCTGTGTAGCTGCGCTGTTCAGTGGGCCGTGCTGACAGCTGTACAGTTAGCCTGCATGTGGCCCATAGGATTTGCCACTACCACACACACACACACACACACACACACATATACAAGAAGCTGGCGGGTTGAGTTTATGACTGGCCCCTATGGAACGTCGGGTTAAACAGCTTTGTGGATGTGAGAATTAAATATGTAGACCACATGAGACTGTTGTTAACACCAGGCCATTGGTTCATATACTCACATTACAGGTTTCGGTTTATATCAGCAAAGACTAACACCTCCACTCGAGGTGAGCGCTGGTGTCAGGCTCACGACGCCCGCACGCCTGTCAGCATGATAGATGGCTGCGCCGCTGATAGAGCTAATTCAAAAGCATGCTTCTGTCTTTGGAGGAAGGAAAAGAGTAGTGTGGGACACCGACTCAGCAGTATGCACACGTTACAAACACACACTTACTGTACGTGCACTGAGTTTAAACAAACACAACGCTCTACATGATCGTCTCCTTGATTGGTTTGTCGTCCGCGTTCCGTTTAGTTTCAGACGATCCTCTTGTTCCTTGACTCGAGGCTCTAGACTCTGTGTGTGTTTGTCGTCCCTTCATACCTGCGCTCAACACTCAACCAGCAAATTGGGATCAATAAAGCAACCAGGTTATTGGTCCCTGGGAAAGGACAGCCGCTCAGTAAACAGTTCTTATTTGACACAGCCTGTCGTGAAAACAGCATGTTAGGTTGAGGGCACTTCAAGTTGAATGCGCCTCCTATTTAGACTCCATGGACCCATGCTGCTTGTGATGTGATGTATGATTTAGTGCAGGAGAATGTAGCCAGCATTTGACCCAGGGGAAATTTAGTCCATGGCTTACTTTCTTTCAACTTGACAGGAAGTTCCCCGGCACTGCTGTGCTCTCGTAGGCCAAACTTTGCTTGTTAGTTTTGGGTTCAAGAGAAAAGAGAGACGAGGCTGCTGTTTTTGACAGACGAGCACCAGGGGGAAGTGATCTGTGAGGTGAGGAGAGTGGGTGTTAGCCTTCAGTTTTGTCAGACAGAGCTACTGTGAGGCAGCAGGGCGCGATGAGAATTGAGCAAATATGAGAACGTCTGTGATTTCTTTTTTTTTTTTCCATTTTTGTTTGCATGAATGCATGTACTTCAGTGTATAGGGAGGATTTACGCTTGTGTCTTACAGCGATGCACCAGTTGCGGTCGTCTCTTCTACAGTGTGAGTTAAACTAGCTGCAAACATATGTTCAGCAAAAGTTTTAAAACATTGGAAAACAATTAGGATTTTGATCATTTATACTGATGTTGAACAAGGCCACAGCGATGTGAGGCTAACAGTGTTGATATACTGATTTTGTACAGTGCTTTTCATGTGCACTGTGACAGTTAATTGTCTTTGCTTTACTAAATAGCTTTAAAAGATAACTACAGCTAAAAGGAATGTCATTAGTTTTGCAGGTATTTGATCTTGAACTTTCTGAACCGCAGCAGTTTCTGGCCTTTTTTGCTCCTGTCACATTTTTTTCTCAATGTGAGCTTCTTTTTTTTCACTGCATTATAAAGTCCTGCTCCTCTATTGAAACAGCACAACCATGGCTAGAAGTGGAGAGAACTCAAAAATGCCTTCTGTGCAGTATGACGGTTATTATGCCATAAATCATAGGAAAGAAACACATATTGAATTTCTCTTATTAGTTTTACTTAATACTATTTTTGATTCCAAAAAAAATGGTGGCTCCACATGCTATCAATATTTTACTGCTTAAATTTGGGATGTTTATTTGAATCTGTATTTGTTCTGTGCGTAAACCCAGCCTGCAGTTCAGCCCGAGTTAAGTTGATAACTCCCTCTGCAGATTTTTAAATAAGACATGAAAAATAAACTGATACTGATGAAATATCACAATTTCAAGTTTAAATGTGGCTACGTTTTAAAATGGACATCATAGATAAGTCGCCCAAAGATTGTAAGTAAGTTGTAAATCTAACAATTCAACAACAACAGTCCTGGCTCTGATAAATGATATAGTTTTGCCAATTTTATGAGAATAAAATGCCTTTGAAGCCTGCTGGCAGATTTTGGAGTTCATGGAGCACTGCCCTGATGACGGCACTAGTTCAAAAGTCACAAGATCATCAGAGTCATTAAGATGCACTGGGTGCTTTTCATTATGTTAACTCATGCTTTCTTGCATCCACTCTCCTCCCATGACCCAGAAATCATTCCTCCATCATCACTGAGAATCTTCCAGTCCTGTAAGTGCACTTCAAGGAGACAGAGAGAGAGAGAAAGAGAGAGACAGGAGGCTTCTGAAGGAGCTTAGAGTGAGGAAACACAGGTGGACTTTTAGTTTCTGTCTCTTTATTTCAAGGTATATTTTAACCTCACGAAGGTACAGAACAGCATGTCTCTCCAAATACTTAAGTAGGTAATCATCCTGTGTCTTTCCGCTAGGTGCATTTTTGTCACTAACGGTGTAGGAATGTTTGTGTAGAGTTGCAGACAAGAAGGTGCCAAAATAGAGCTGAAACAATAAAGCATTTACACCCTTTTTGGTCCGTTCCTGTATCTTGATTTTGTAGTGTCTACCTCTCTCATCCTGGCTGGATGGAGCTGAGGTTCGAGGAAAAATCCTGAGCGTGAAGTGCACAGAGACAGATTAGCGTAACAAACTGCACCCACAGTCTTAGATGATAAACACACAAGCTATTCCATCTCGCAGACCTTAAGACATTTCACTGAATGGGTGATAACTTTGACCGTTTGGTAAGCCTAGAGGGAAAAAAAAATTCATAGCATTTTGCTGTAAGCCAAGAGGTCGCCTGTGTCAACATAGGACATAGAGCTGGGGGATATAGCTGAAGAATTTATCACGAAAAAATGTTTCATGTCAGTCAGTATCAATAGTTATTGCTAATTTTTAATAACCTAGATTTAGCTCAGAAGAAAAAAAAATGTAATTTGATTTTAACCACCTGTGTCAATTCATCAAGGCAACAGGTTCAAAAATATTTAATGTTAACACAACAATGAAAAACACACGTTACATGTGCACTCCTACATCAAATCCATCAGTCCACGGAGCGATCTGCAGAGGTTATCACTTAGCTGGAGCTGGTGTTGACCACAGGGCTGTGGGCGGCCAACCACCAGTCCTTGCTGGCCCCAACACTGAGGTCTGCGGGGGAGGAAAGAGGCAATGAGAGACCCAGGTGACCTTGGACTAGCATGCCTCAGGAGACCTGCACAGAAGCCAGTAGGGAGAACAACTTTTAGGGCGGTTTGCATCCAATGTCTGAAAGGACAACTATAGAACAGTTGTCTTATTGCTATTGAGGAAGCGTCTATTGCTGGTACATGTTGCTCCTGTTTTATCACCCAGATCTAGGTAGACATTTCAATCTGGACCAACTGAGTCGGAACAAAAGTGCCACACTACTGGAGTGGGTAAAATTAATATTACAGATAATTGCTAAAGTTTGTGCATTCAACAGCCAAAAATCATTGCTGAGCACACAAGAGGTGATACATTCACAGGAATTTGTTTGGGAAACATCCATAGTTTCACAAGACAGGTAGGTATAGCATGATGGGAAGCAATTGCAACAACATCCATCCATCCATTATCTATACACCACTTAATCCTCACTAGGGTCTTGGGGGGCTGGAGTCTATCCCAGCCGACTCAGGGTGAAGGCAGGGGACACCCTGGACAGGTCACCAGTCTATCACAGGGCAACCAAGCACACTCACAGTCACACCTACAGACAATTTAGAATCACCAATTAACCTCAACATGTTTTTGGACCTTGTGGGAGGAAGCTGGAGAACCTGGAGAGAACCCACACTGCACGGGGAGAACATGCAAACTCCACGCAGAAAGATCATGGGTGTCCTCACTGGGACGCGAACCGGCAACCTTCTAGCTGCGAGGCAACAGTGCTCACCACTGCTCCACCTTGCAGCCCAATTTAAGTAGTAAAAGAAAAAAGCACCACATACAGATTTCAGTACAAAATCATCAAGGACTATGCAAGTACAGATATATGTTGGGTAAGGGAGCCAATGGGGCAAGTACAAACCGTTTTCTCCCCTCTGTGGTTGGTCATACTAAAGCTCACCCTTCAGAATACTGATGTTCCTTCACACACATATTTGCAGTCTGCACAACACACACTCCTCCAGGCCCTCAGATCACATTTCCAATTCGAGCACACAAACACAGACACACATAAACAGACTCTCAAGAAGACGCAGAGGCACACACACACAGAAGAGTGAATATATAGACGGAACCCCGTATAGAAATATAAGAAAATCTACTGGATAGCGTATCCACAGGCAGAAGGGATTAGACATACGAAAACACACAGTTTAACACAAAGACACAAAAACACGCACAATCATTATCGCACGTTCACACACACACGGCCATGCGCCGAAGCAGTCACATATCACAATCACACATCCTCAGCGTGCAGTGTTCGCAGCTGAGAAAACAGATTGGCCTTGTTTGTTTGTTGGGTCTCCTCTCCATGTTTGTTTGCTGTGCCGCAGCCAATGGAAAACTAGCATCTTGAGGATCATTAAGTGGCTAAAGAGGGCTCTTTTGATTGGCTGCATGGGGCTCCCCAGCGTGTATCTTTGTGCTTGTCAGTGTCCGTGTTAATATGCGTAAACATGTGTCTGAATTGGTGTTTGGATGCGTGTGTGTGTGTGAATGCTCAAGCGGCTGCGTGTTTTCGTATGGTTTGATACATCCTTGACAGGCAGGCACAAAAGCCGACATGATTAGTTGTGTTTCGGTGAAGGCAGGTGCCGCCATTCAATCTTTCATGTCACCCCACAATACATCATGACTTCCTGTAAATAGGCTGACAGGCAGATCCTCCTCGACTGTGTGCAGACAAAATATTTTGCTGCGAGCGTGTCGGTTTTAGCCAGAATGAGAGCCCTTCTCCATTTACCAAGCCAAGCTGTGACTGAATAACATTTCTGCAGAGGATATGAATTTCTAGGCAATTGAATGAGAGTAATGTAAGTCACGGTGAACTGTGCTGGTTTGGTTCCAGGGCTATTACAAAGCTTTGCGTTATGTTAGATATCATTAGTGGGGATTGGTGGGGAGAAGAGGGTGTGTAACAGCAGTGGTGGAGATTAAGACATCCCACTGTAGATGATAATTGCTTTTGTCAGTCCTTCCTGTTCGAGCCCCCCCCACACCCCCACACTGCCTCTTTGTATTTTCATCTCTCATTTACTTGCACAAGACTTGGGCTCCTTCCCATCTCATTCGCCTTTTTCCCCGCACTGTTTTTTTTAATTTATTTTATTTTTTTTCCTCTTCCTTCATTCGCTTACTCTTTGCTGTCTCTATTCTCACACTGTGCATTGTCAAGGAACGGCTCATCAGACGGAGACATCCATCCAAATGGCGGGCTTTGTCAAAACAAACCGAGACAAACATTCTCCCTGAACAAAAAGAAGCCACAGCTTGAGCAGCAACACCTCTCTGATATTTTTTAGGCCTCTGGCTGTGCTAACAACAAAATAGGTGTTGTTTGTGTGTCTGGAACATTTCACTACTTTGCCCCTTTCTGTGTTGTTGTGGTCGTGCCAAGATACCAACAGGATACTCATGGCCCACTGGCAGACAAGAAACAGAATATTTGCCAGCTAGATTAAGTTGCCAATTAACAAAGTCAAGGTTGCGCTGTGTGCTGAGTTTGTTCCAGACCAGACAGGCTGCAGAGTTTCATATCAATCAAGCCAGCACCCCGCTGTCAAAAGTTAGTTGAGCTACATTTAGTTTAGTCTTGCATATGTAGAGCTGAATGCTAATGATGATTTCTGTTTCATCCACAGCTACGGGCCCACGCAGTGGACATGAACGGGAACCAGGTGGAGAATCCGATTGATCTGTACATCTATGTGATCGACATGAACGACAACAGACCCGAGTTTCAGAACCAAGTGTACAACGGCTCTGTGGCCGAAGGTTCCAAACCAGGTAAGACTTCTGTCTCCTAGTCGTAGATACAGCTGCACGGTAACACACCTGTAAGTGCAGGATCATGTGGAAATTCTCTCCCAGGTAAAATGAAATGATGAATAAGGGTTTGTTTCTTTAAAGAAGTTGGTTTTCATGCTGAAGTTTTCAAAATCTGAAGGGGGTTGAAGGCGAGAAGGAGAGACTTGATGGAACTTTGCTTTGTGAGGTGAAAGAGGCACCCATGCTGGTGGTCCGAAATTAACTGGAAATTAGGTTTTGTAGTTTGATTTGAACACAGTCAGCGGTCGGAGCTGCAGCAGCGATCGTGAGTCCGTATTTTATAGCACTTATGGTACTTCAGGTACTTCTTCTCTGAGTCATAACTCAGTCCAATAACCCAGTCTGACCCCCACAAACATAATATGCAGTTTCTACTTAAGTGCAAATTATAACTTGTTAGGATATACAGGATCAATGCTCATAAAAGTGGTTGGAAATTAGTTGATAGAATTACATAGATGTCAACCAGTAGCTCCTCGGAAAATGGAAAACAGCACAACTGCAGTGAACCGTACTACACAGTGTACTCTGGCACTAATGGTGACTTTCAGCTGTTTCAACCAGCTTCTCTTCTTGGTCACAACAAACACAGAGTTACTTAGATTCTTGGTTGTGATGACCGTAAACACATTTATATCATTCATTTGAACAGGAGGCCTAGTTAACTGGCTTAATGCTTAGTTGTAAAGTCAACACCTTCATTTAAACTGAACAAATCATCTAGTTAATGTATTGATCTGAACAAACTGCCTCTCAGACACAGACAGAGTGGACTCCAAATAACCTTCTTTAGATGTGCTGCTTTAAAAACCTATTTTAAATCGACTGCATAATCAACAAACAGAAATGGCAGAATATCAAAATATATTTTTTTACTAAGACCTGCTAATGCATTCAGTAGCTTGGGCAGTAGTTATTTACTTTTTTTTTCCAAAGGTGAGCCCAAAAAAACAAATCCTGAATTGAACCATCTTTGTCGAACAGTTTAAAACACCCATCACGCAGTGGTTTCCAGCTTCTTCTTTCTTTTTTTTCTTTTTTTTGGTTCCTGACCTTTTAAAGTCACAAGTTTGACATTTGTACCCTTCTTACCTAATGTACAAACCAATAGAGCCAGAGAAGAACAAGAAGTGCCTTCTGTTGCAGCGAGACTTTATGTTCTCAAACTGCACTTTATGTTCCGTTGCAATTAACTGAGTCATGTTAAAAGTCACAAAATACCTAAAAACGCAAGCCTGTAATCATTTATTATTGTCACTAATTAATGCAACAATTTGAATTAATGCATGGAAAATCACCACTTAGCACTTTTGTTGGTTAATACTGAGCTCTGCTAAAAAATGGCTAATGCAATAATCCATTCGAGGCTTTATTTTAGACTGATGTATTATTAGCTGAAAGGTTTTTTGTTGGATTAGCTATATTTAATTTAATTAATATGAATTATTGAAAGAAGAAAATGTTTAAAAATGCACGATAATCCACAGCCTCTTATTGTTTGAGGATCCTGTTTGCGTTTTAGTTCATCAAGCGCTCATTTTGTACTTCAGAAAAACCGAATGTTTCAATCACGGTCGCCCTGAATGCATTTGGCTTTGAGGAGCGAATTTGTCGAGACGCTTGAAGTTTTCGGTTCTGATTCGGATAGGGGCAAGTTCATGATATTTGTTTTACAGTATCCGGTCTTGGTGCATCATTATCAGATTCTGCAGAGCATGGAGAGACGTAGACCTTCCCTCAAAATCGGGGGAACAGTTGTGGTCAGCACGAAGCCGGAGACAAGAGCAGAATGTGCAAGTAGCTCTCATGTCTCGACTGGAAGAACTCGTGTTCTAACAATCAGACCCCGAGGACCCATGTTTGTCTTCACAGCGTTCAGATATTGTTCTGCTGCAAAGTTTAATCTCAGGGGGATTTGTAAACAATATAGGAAAGCATGTTGTGCATGTGTATGTGTGTGTATGGATGAGCGAGTACGGGATTGAGGTTGTGTGCGCCAACGCTGGTTATTCCTCAGCGGAGCGTGGGTCTATATACAGAGCTCCTAATTAGCGAGGGCAACCAGACATTCCAAAAGCTACTTTCTTTGTTTTCTCACTCTGATAGTCTCTGCGTGCTTTAAAATGAGAGCACGCCACGACAAAAGTGTTTGAATTAAATTTTTTTTTTGCATCGAGCAGAATGAAATCCGTGACGCCAATTAACGGGAAATACATTACGCCGCGTACAGTATAATTGCTCTGCCCTTCATTAAGCAATCACTGCCAAGTAGCATTTGTTTGCGGAGCCGGCGTTGTTAGGTGTTAAGAGTACAGTGTCAAAGAAGCATAATGTGTGTGGAGCACTGTGCTTTTTGTCTGCCTTTGCTACAGTCATTGGCCTCTGAATTGATGAATTTTAATTAGGAAAATACTGTAGACTGCATGTTGGCCTAATTGCCTGTTTTGTTGAAGAAAACAAAAATGATTGCGATTCATCTTCAGTGGAGGTTGGAGGAGACGTATTTTTATGCTTTTCTGGCCCATTAAAGCCTTTAATATATGCTCTGCCAGTTAAATCTTTTACTCACTATTAATGGACCCAGTTTAGACCTCAAGTTAAGTGCTGCACAGTTTTTGCTGAAGTTGGTTTTTATGCCCAGCAGCACTGATTCCTTCTGTGCAGTTAGAGAACATGGCCAAATATAAGATATGCACTTTAGATGAGGTACATTATTAATATCCATTCTGACTTTGACTAAGCTCTTTCATGCACCTTTCTTTACATACCAAAGTCTCTGCTGCTTTTCATCACACAACCGAAGGCGACAACCAAAAAATACTAACATTCAATCAAAAGAACGACGGTGAGTTAGACAGAGGGGAATCTGAGGCTCTCTAAAGCGCAAATAATACCTGATTTGTAGTTTAAATGGGCCTCAGATTCTCTGAATTTTTTACCACGTCTCCCTTTCAGTCCTCACTTGTGCCTTTTCAAGAAACAACCTCAGCTACTGTACTTAATATTTATTTACGGCACTGCTTCTCCTCGCTTCTTTGTGCGCTACAATGTGCATTCCTCATCCAATGTTGTAAAAGAATTGACATTTTTCAGTGCTTAGCAAAACACACACCAGATCGCTGCTGAGCCTCACAGATCCTCAGTGTGCAACCTTTATTTGCATGCGGTTTGGATCGTTCTGCCGACGAGAAAGGCCATGAATTCTCTCAGGTGTTACCCCAGGTGACGCGCTCTCTGTCCGTCCTGCCAGCAGGTGGAGTGTCGCCGAAGCCTGTCAGTATTACAGCTGACAGGTGCTGCTCTGCTGCTGAACAGAGTGTCGCCCAGTGTAGCTCAGTTCTCTGTCTCTCTCTACCCACAGCTGGTTAAAACGGGGATGAGCCATGAAAGAATATTAGAACATGACATCACGTAATAACACACAGTCATGTGCATTTCTAGTGTGTTATTGTAGCCGTTCAAAAATGGCAGACAACTGAATTATGTCACATTTTCATTTTCATTTACAGTTGAATGAAACAGGAATTTGTCTCATTAAATGTTTTTTTTTTTTTTTTATCTCACAGCGTCTGGGGCTTTTTTTCTCCTCTCTGTGTATGTGCACTCTGTAGAATGTGTATTTTTCGCGGGTTTTTTTTTTTGTGTGTTTTCTGTTTTTTTTTTTATTTTATATGTTATCTCCTCTAATCTCACACAAAAATGTATGTGTGTTTGTTTTCTTTCTTATTTTTGTTGTATTTTTTTTTCTTTTTTTTGTTTTTTGTTTTTCTTTCTTTTTTTTTTTTTTTTTTTTATGTTTTTTTTCTGTTTCTTTGGCTGCTTTTTTTTCTTTTTTTTTTATTACACTGTGCAGGGAAGGCTTGCTTGTTTCACTTGTGTCGCCACAGTGACAGCAGATATAAAGCCTTGGCAACAAAAGCAAATTATTTGTATGAGTAGATACCACTAGGGTCACAGTGTTATTTCTTTGTACTCAAACATTGGAGAAAAAAAAAAAGTTGAAAGTATTTGGAATAAACTTTTGCACAAAGGAATATATACCACAATGTTTAGTGCAGGAAGGCAGTTTAATATTTTTTAACATAATTGTAAAAATGTTGTACTTTGAAAAAAATATGCACCTGCAATGAAACTTTATTATAGATAAATGTCCAATAAAAAAAACCCAAGGGGGCTGTTTTTCTGAATGCCAACAAAGTGTGTGTGTGTGTGTGGAGGGTGTGTGTATGTGTTCAGCTACAGTGATATCACTTTCAGTATCTACAGACCCAGATATCAAAGGTTCTCTGAAGCATTACAACACATCTTCATATCTCACACCGTGTGAAAGCCATCAAAGAGGAGGACCTACAGGGAACAACCCTTATCACCATCTCCAGATATTACGTCGAGTAGAGATCCGATCAAACCGTCACAGGCAGGACCGGTTTGAAACATTTGTCACTTTCTGCCACCGGGCCCTGCTCAGCACCAAACAAACCTGTGACTAATAACATTAATTCGTGCAGGTAATCAAATGTACCAAAGCTGCGCACGATATGCAGTTATTGTTAATGAGGAATAAATTGAATTTAATCTGAAACTAATGAGAATTATCTTGGTGAAACTCGCTAATATTTTCTTTCGCTTGTGCTCCTTGTTCAATATACAGCAATAAACGGTCGTCTGTGGCGAAGCTCAGGGTAACATGCACATACAGAAAAGGAAAAGAAAATACATGAAACACCAGCGTCTTGTCGAGAGAGGTCACCGAAATGATCTGAAACTCTAGAAAACCGTCAAGACGGTGACACGAGACAGTCCTTACGTTGTGTTAAGTGGCCTCAGATAAAGATTCAGCGGGATGGCGTGACTTCTTCAGAAAGCTCTTGTGTTCTGAGGCTACAGCGTACTCAGAACATCTGCCCTGTGATGTTTCTGTCCTTCTCCTTCCCTCCCCCCCTTCTCCCCGACTCTGA